CTCACTAGTCATCACAATGGTTAAGGTTGCCGCCTATAATACCGAAGCAAGAGTGACGATTGCTCTCTCTCTCTCTCTCTCCCCCCCCCCCCCCCCCCCTTCGGCCAATCGAGTCCACAGATGATTAACAAAGCGTAGATGCATAAACTAGTTGGTCGGCATAACGGACTGCCGTAGGGAATCGGGATGCAAAAGAAAAGACGGATTTCACATCTCTCGGGGAGTGACTAATTAGTATTTCTTCGGAAAATCCACTTTATTAGGTGTCATCAGTAACAAACTCGTTGTCATACGACTGATTGATTGCTTCTCCTGCCTTGATGGGTGGTACGGAATCAAATCCACTTAATTGCGTATTCAATCACAGATACTCGCTGTCGCAGCATCGATTCATTCATTGCATTTCTTACCTTGATGGGCATTACATAGTATTGATTACGAGTTTATGCGATCAAAGTCGCCTTGATTGGCATAAAGATAGATGAAAATGACACATGCTCTGGATCGCATAAACTCGTATGTAACTCCTAGTTATTCACGATCGCAAACGTAGACTTAATAATACCATACGAATCATAAGATCGATTACAAGAGAGAGTTGTGGTGCGACCAGACTACTAAAGTACTGACCACAGACAAATGCTATGCACAAAGTAGATAATAATTTGGTAAGGCGACACACAAAAACCGGATCTGGATGGCAGCCACGACTCGATACAGAGGCGCACTCCATGTTTACAGAAACCGGATCTCACTGGCAGCCAAGACTCGATACAGAGACTCTTATTTCTTCGTATTTAGTAAGTCGAGAGACAGAAACTGAATCTGGCTGGCAGCCGCGACTTAATAGAGAAACTCTTATTTCTTAAGTCCTTAGTATGGCCAGACACATAAACCGAATCTGGCTGGCAACCACGACTCGATACAGAGACACTCCATACACACATAGAAAAACGTACTAAAAGCGGTATGTAAACCAGCCGCTAAATGCGCGCGGCCGTTACCATATATCCCGGTTTGACTGAGGGGTTATAACAACCTAGCTTCCATGTCTACTTTCTCTGGATCGAACGCACTTTCGCAGGTTAAAGAATACCGTGGACGTGGACTACAAGGAAACCTCTACCCTCATCTCAACCTTACCCATGCGTGCCCCTACCATGGCCACAAATTGCTGCTATGAAATTCATTATAAATACATAAGACGTCACCGCCCCGTGTCCTCATGACGTTGCCTTTCACACAAGGCCAAACCCATTCCCAGCCTCTCACAGACATGTAGGGTTCAGCATCCTGATGAGTTGGTGAAACTTCAACGAAACAGTCTGTCCCAGCCCCTCGTTTGTGATCCTCTTCCCCCTCTCTGCCTACGGCTCACCGGGCAGTTCTCTATGACGATATACATAGATATCGTCATATTCACGTACATATATATCGTCACAAACAGAACTGCCCGGTAAACCGTAGGCAGAGAGAGAGAAGAGGACAACAAACGAGGGGCTGTGACAAACTGTTTCGTCGGAGTTTCACCGACTCATCAGGAAGCTGAACCCTCAACAGTCTGCAGAATCCCCTCACTGATTACATTGTGAATGATAATCTACCTTAACCAAAATCAAAGTAGACTATCACTCACCCACACCAGATGGAAAACTCTACAGAATATACAATATATATATATTGTCACACTGGAAATCGGATATATATGTTCAGCCTCCTGATGAGTCGGTGAAACTCCGACGAAACAGTTTGTCACAGCCCCTCGTTTGTTGTCCTCTTCTCTCTCTCTGCCTACGGTTTTACCGGGCAGTTCTGTTTGTGACGATATATATATACCAGGCAGCTCTGTTTGACAAGATATATACACGTGGCTGGCCTTGTACGTAAGAGGTGATGAACAGGTGGGGCTTTCCTTCCGTACTTCTTTTCCTTTCCTTGTTTTGCATTTTTTCGCCTTCGCGCTCTGATTCAGTGTGACAATGGGCAGCCGCCGCTCAACCTACATCCACGTGGGCGGCCTCTGATTCAGTGTGACAATGGGCAGCCGCCGCTCAACCTACATCCACGTGGGCGGCCTTGTACGCAAGAGGTTCTGAACAGGGGGAATTGAAAGGAAGAAGACAAAATATGAATTGACATTTTTTTTGTTCCCTCTTGTTTTTTCCGCTCTCGCGCTAACGATATATACATATATATACTATCACATGATATCAGAGCGCCAAAGCGAAAAACAAACAAGAAAAACAAGAAAAACAAGAAAAACTGAATTCGCTTTTAATCTTCTTCCTTACAACTCCCCCTGTTCAGAACCTCTTGCGTACATGGCCGCCCACGTATATATTGTCACACTGTGTATATATCTATATATATTGTCACAAGAGTATCAGGGCGCAAATGCGAACAAAAAGGAAAAAAGAAAGAAAAACAGGAAAAAATGAATACAGTTTTTTATCTTCTTCCTTATAACTCCCCCTGTTCAGAACCTCTTGCGTACGAGGCCGCCCACGTGGATGTAGGTTGAGCGGCGGCTGCCCCCACCCCCGTGTGTCATATCGACCCACTTGCACACAGCCAAAAGGCGAAGAGGCAAAGAAAAGAGGAAGGGAACAGCCAAAATAAAACAGAACAGGGGGCAACAAAACAGATCCCAGATGACAAGTCCCACATGCAAGCATCGCCCCAGCACACACAGGCCAAACGACGGGACAAGACCAACCCGGATGTCAAAACATTCTTGTCTGCAAAGAAATCAAAAAAAGGTCCCAGGTACATATCTATACACAGCAGATGGCCTTGTTCGACATCAAGAAGTTGGTATTCCTATTCGGCGTCATCGTAAGCAATTCGTACTGGGACATCATAAAAAACAATACTAGTTGATTCCCACATAAAAGCACCGCCCCCATGTATATCTGTGACGATATACATATATCTTATCGACTATATATTGTCACATTGTGAATCAGAGCGCAGAAGCGAAAAAAAGGGGAAAGAAAAAAAGAAAAGGAAGAAAGGGGAAGGGGAAGAGGTACGGAAAGCTCCAGCTGTTCATAACCTCTTACGTACAAGGCCAGCCACGTGGATGACAGGTTGAGCGCTGGCTGCCCCCATCCCCGTGTGTCACAAGGACCCACATATATATATATACAGTACATATATACATATTGTATATATATATTGTCAATCAGATATATGTATATCGTCATAGTCAAACAATATATATCGTCACAAAGATATCAGAGCGCAAAAGCGAAAAAAACAAAAGGAAACAAGAAAAATATCAATTCATTTTTATCTTCTTCCTTACAGCTCCCCCTGTTCAGAACCTCTTGCGTACAAGGTGGCCCACGTGGATGTGGTTGAGCGGCCGCTGTCCCCACCCCCATGTGTCATATCCACCCAGTTGCACACAGCCAAAAGGCAAAGAGGCAAAGAACGAGGAAGGGAACAGCCAAATATAACAAAACAGGGGGAGACAAACATAACAGATTCTAGATGACAAGTCCCACATGCAAGCGCTCCCCCCCACATCACAGGCCAAACGACGGGACAATGACCAACCAGAATATCAATCAACACCCTCGCCTGCAAAAAAAGCAATCCCAGATAACAAACCATTCGTGCTCGCCAGCATAGACACCTTATCATGGTTTCGACGCATGATTCGCTCGTCTAAACTGAAATACTGGGACACCACCAACGACAAAAATATAAAGACCATCCCAGATGACGATTCCCACCTAAAAGCACCGCCCAACTCCTTCAATAGGCCGAACAATGGGAACCAGCCAACAAGGATGCCAAAAGGATAAAAAAAGAACCCGGATGATAAGTCCGACATGAAAACACGGCCACATGGATCGCACAACCCACATGAAAACACCACCACGTGGATCGCACAACCCACATGAAATCACCGCCACGTGGACCTGAACAACGAGACAAAACCAACAGGGATGCAGACAAAGGTGCCAAAAATACCAACAATTCTGCCATAACGATACTTAACAAAACGGAAACATACAGTCGGTCCGCAAATATCTTTGTTTTATTTTGTTTCTGAGAAAACAAATCGCACAAACACACAAACACACACACACACACACACACACACATGTCTCTTATACACATCTAGATGTGTATAAGAGACAGATATATACCAGGCAGCTCTGTTTGACAAGATATA